TCGATGTCTTCACGCAGGTGAGTGGCACAGCCAGGACCCTCTCCCCAAGTTTGGCTTCGTCTCAGCATCACCTTAACTCTGCCCAAGCCAGCCCAGGGCAGCCTGGCAAACCTTGACTGGGACTGGGACCAGGCAAGGGAGAGGCTTTAAATGTCCCCCTCTGGCCTCCCCGATGAGTGCCAGGAGCTAATGGCAGGACGGGACTGTGTTGGCAGGAGCCCCCGAAGGATCGTGACCTGGTGAACCACCCCAATGTCATCTGCTGCCCACACCTGGGTGCCAGCACACAGGAGGCACAGAGCCGCTGTGGCAAGGAGATCGCCATGCAGATCGTGGACATGGCCACGGGAAAGGGGCTGGCCGGCGTAGTGAGTTCCCCTTGCCAGGCATCTGACCTCCGTGCCTCAGTTTCCCTGTCTGTAAAACATGGGTGCACCCCTGTGCGCTCACTGGTGGGTTCCCATCGCTCACCGTTCTCTTCCTCACAGGTCAACGGGCAGGCTCTCAGCAAGGCTTTCGCACCCCAGACCAAGCCCTGGATCACCCTGGCCAAGGCCCTGGGCTCGGTGCTGCGCCTGGTGGGGAAGCAAGCGCAGGGCAGTGTGCAGGTCTGCACCCTAGGTGAGCTGTGTCTGGGTGAAGAGACCCCAATGGGTGTGCAGGGCAGCAGGGTGTGCGGGGACCCACTGGGCTGGGTGAATGGGAGGGTAGCCAGGAGAAGGAGTGGGCAAGAGGGTGGTTGATGGTGGGATGGGAGAATGGTGGGAGGACAGGGACATGGGTGTATGGATGAACAAATGGATGGATGGATGGGTGCAAGGATGGGAGTAGGGTTGGGTGTATGGGTGGGTGTATGGAAGGACCAGCCCCAGGCTGGCAGCTCCAGTGTGGAGCAGACCTCTCTGCTGCTGGCCCATCCACGTCCTGCTTCCTCCCTGTGCCCCAGGGACACCTCTGCAGGAGGCAGGAAGCTACCTGACGCCCGCTGTAGCCGCGGGCATGCTGGCCGGAGGGGCGCAGAAGGAGGTGACCCTGGTGAATGCCCTGCTGCTGGCCCAGGAGGCTGGGCTGAAGGTGTGTGGACACCTGGGGCTCTTGCACATCAGCCTGGCCCACCCAGACCCCATCCTTCCTGAGGATGCCCTGTAGGGTGCTAACACAGCTCTCGGGCTGGCGGGCATCCCCTGGGGTGGTCTCAGAGGACCCCCCTTCCCCACTCCCTGCCATGTGCAGGACCTGGGCACTGAGCAGCTGCATCTCTCCGGCAGGTCACGACCACCCACAGCAACGTGGCCCCTGAGCCCGATGGCAGTGCCGGCTTGGTGCAGGTGTCCCTGCAGGGCACCCCACACCGGGTAGTGGGTACGGTGCAGGGCAGCACCCCGGTGCTGCGGGAGCTCAATGGGGCCACCTTCAAGCAGCCAGCCCCGGTGGCTGGCCCCATCCTCATCTACAGAGCCAAAGCCTCCGAGCCCAGCATGCTGCCTACGCTCACTGGTGAGCTCCCTTCGTCGTCCCCCAGCATGGGGAACAGCCTGGGGGACCCCACATTCACCCTGGAGCTGAGCCCCTGCTGCAGCAGGAAGGGAGCAGGTGTCACATGAAGAGACAGGGATGGTGGGGGCTTGGAGCAAAGGACATGGGGCAGGGGAAAGAAATGGCATTGGGAACCTTTTGAGGTGTGCTGGGGCAGTGGGGCAGCTCGCAGCCCCTAACCCCTCTCCTCCTCTCCAGGGCTGCTGAGAAAGGCAGGGATCCAGCTCCAGTCCTACCACAGCTCTGGCGTGGTAGCAGGGGAGCAGTGGAGCGCTGTGGGGCTCTCAGCCCCCTTGTCTGACCTCAGCGAGTTGAAGTCACACGTCATGGAGGTCTTCCAGCTCCACCTGTAGCCCCTGACCTCTGGCAAGGACTCTCCCCCTGGCTGCAGCACCTGGACACCCCCCCAGCTTGGGGAGCATCGCACACAGCCGCCCCCAGCCCCCACACTGGGTTTGGGGTGGCCCCGTGCTCAATAAAAGGTCCAGGAGGAGAGAGTCTGTGATGCCTTGTCTGTGCGGTCCCTTGTCCCCAGCCCCAAAGCTCCTGCAGGCTCTGTCCCTCCTACCCCAAGTCCCTCCTGCCCCCTGGCCCTGCTGCTGTTTGCTCAAGGGTACAAAGGTCTCTGCAGCTGCTGCAGCCCCACCGAGGTCCCATCCGGCCATGGTCCCGTGCCAGTGCATGGCTCAAAGAGCAGGCAGTGCTCCAAGGGTGGCTGAGCCCTCCCATGAGCACCTGTGTTATCTCCTGGGTTTTCCCATGGGGATTTTTCAATTTACTAACATCATGGGGAATATGGCACCTTGACCCCACCCCCAGACTGGAGACGAGGGAGCTGGGGTTTACTTGGGTACCCCAAAATGTCAGGGCTCACTCTACTCCTGAGGAAATGGGGGGTACTGAGGCACGTGTCCAGCAGGGCAGGTGGCTGTGTCCCATGGATGCCCATGGGATAAATCCTGTAAGAGACCATGATCCAGCCCCACAGTGGTTGAGGGAAGGGCCTCAGGGTGGGAGGGGACCACTCGTGACGAGGACCCAGAGCCAGGCTGCTGCCCCCTCTCATCCGCGTGTTTATTCCCCCGTGCCACCCAGGTGGCTGCAGAAACCACCGCTGTCTCCACCATCTCTAGGGCCTGAGGTGCTGCTGGGCACTTTCTGGCCATCCAAGGTGAGGTTTCTTGCAGAGGCCAGCCCCAGATTTGGGGGTGAGCAGGGATGCCAGCATGGAGAGCATCCCCCTCCTTGGGGCTCAGCACTCTGATCCCCTCTAGACAGGCTTCCTGGCATATTCCCGGCGGTATTTGTCATCTACCCTTGTCAAGTACCAGGTGCCGGGGAAGAGATCCGCCTGGGAGCCATGGGGAGCGTGGTTGGCTGTGGGGAGAGGGCAGTGATGCTCAGAGGGGCCATGGAGCGCTGGCAGAGGAGTGCCACGTCCCCTTGTCCCCACTCACCCAAGTGATGGGTCTCCTCTCGCCGCTTCATGATTTCAGCGAAGTCCTGCGGGGCCACGCGCTTGCGGGCGTCCAGGCGAGCAGGCAGGTCGGCCAGACTGGAGACCAGCTTGTCCAGGGGTGAGCCTGGCGGTGAGGGGACCCCGGGTGAGACAGCAGCACTGGCAACCCCTGCCCCACAGCCCCATGCTGCCCTCCCCTTCCAGACCCCCTCCCCCGTGGGGCTCACCCGGAGATGCAAAAAGACGGCGCGGCGTGCCGCCCCGGAGCCGTAGGAGAAAGCACCGATCCGGGAGCCGGCCAGGTCCCGCGCTGAGGATCTGTGGTGAGGGGTTAGGGATGTCTGAGGGGACTGGGGGCTTGGGGGGCATGCGGCGACTCAGAGCTGCCCCCTTTATGGGCAGAGGGGTGCTGGGACTTGGGACTACGTTGCTGAGGGTGGGTGGCCCTGAAGTCTGGTGGTGCTGGGGCGCCCCAGGACAAAGCTTTTGTCCCTCCCAGTGCACGGCTGTTCCCAGGGCTCCTCCACCAGGCACAAGAAGGGGGTTTTCATCCTCCCGCGCTGACAGAAGGGCTTTATGTGTCAGGCCAGTGCCAGCGAAAGGGGATGAAAAGGCTGGCAGGAAGACAGCACGGAGTGGGACACATCCATGTCAGGGGTTACATGCAATGAAAGTGTCAGATCTCTGCTGGCACCTGCCTCTCAGCCAACCAGACCAGGGACTGGCCTCCCAAAAACTACCTCTCCCTACACCGAGACAGCTTTTTGGAGGACTCACTGTGCCAGAAGGGAAGCCAGGCAGCCATACATGGATGGCGTGTACATGTTGCCGTTGCGGGAGGCAAGGAGCAAGGAGGGCTTGGTCTTCTGTTTGAAGATCTCCTGGCTGGCCGTCTGGAACGCCTTCTCCACCTCCTTGCTGGTGTAGGTGTCCTCCAGCTTCACGCCACTGTGCAGAGAGAGCCCAGCTCGAACCCTGCACTGTCACATCCCTGGCTGGGCTGGGGGACAGGGGACACAGCATGGGGAACCCCCTTACCCACCGGAAAGGCTGCAGCCCCTTGTAGAGACCAGTGGCTGTGTCAGGGTTGGGGACCGCCAAGAAGTCGTTCAGCAGCAGCCGCCCCACTGACTTCTGCACCAGCTTGCAGAAGGGCGTGTGGAAAATGATGAACTTGAAGTCATCAAGGGTGAAGGGCCGCTGGACGCCGTCTGGAAGGCAACGTGGGGGCTGTCAGCAGCTGTTGGGGTGGCACAGGCAGCCAGGGGGTTCCACCACTTACCCTGCTGCCACTGGCTCTCTGCCTTCCGGCGGTAAACGGCATAGCAGCGGTCCAGTGCCCGCAGGTAGCACTGGATGGAGAGCTGCCCATCCACCACCGGGTACTCGGAAGCCAGGTCTGGCTTGTAGAAGTCGTAGGCGTGCTCCATGTGGGTTCCTCGCAGGCCTGGGGGCACAGCGAGAGCCAGCTGTTGGGGAGCATCAGGGGGCCCAGCCAGATGGCAAGTACTCAGGGATTCTGCCTGCCATGCCAGCCCTGGCATCCACCAGCCTCCTTGGATCACTCCAAGGTGCCCACAGGGCTGTGGCCACCTGGGATGCTGGGCTGCCCAACACTGGGCAGAGCTGGTGCTGCTAGAGGTAAGCAGCTCCATCCAAGGCTGGAACAGGGCTGTATGGCTCCAAGGGACAGCACCCATCAGCTCATTGCCCCCGGGGTCTTGCAGCACTGACCTCTCTCCAGCACCAGCGGGGCGTTGGGTCCCACCAGCATGGCGATGGCACCAGCACCTCCCGTGGGCCGTGCGTTCCCCGTGGCATAGACGGCGATGTCCCCGCACACCACCACGGCATAGCGACCTGGGGGAGGACAGGGACAATGGGAGCCTCCATCCCATAGCCCTCATGCATCCCTGTTCCCATCCTCACGCTACAGGGTATCATAGCCAATGGAGGGAGGGGAGAAATAGGGGGGGGATGGAGAGCCTGGAGGGGCAGCAGATCTGTTTCAGGGCACTTCCTGACCCATCCCACAGCACCCACCCCATGTCCAGCCCCCCCATCCCCATGGCATGGTCCCTGCCAACACCCACCATCCCAGGCGCTGGACTCCACCCAGGCGGCTGCGTTGAAGAGCGAGGCCGTGCCCCCATAGCAAGCATTGGTGGTGTCGATGCCCTCCACATCAGTGTTGCCCGAGTCATGGAAGAGTTGCATAAGGACGGTCTTGACGGCCTTGGACTTGTCAATGACGGTCTCAGTGCCCACCTCCAGGCGGCCGATGGAGTCCCAGGAGAGGCGCCCACGCTCCACCAGCCGCTGCACCACCGTCAGGCACAGGGAGTTGATGTCCTCGTGGGCAGCACAGAAGCCCATCTGCTGCTGGCCCAAGCCCCGCGTGTACTTGCCGGCCTCCACGCCGTCGTACCGCTCCAGCTCCTCCTGCTCCACGTACTGGGCGGGGAAGTACACCTCCAGCGCCAGGATGCCCACATCCTTGGGCCAGGCACCCGTCCCAGCAGCGCTGGAGAGGCTGCAGGGCAGAGGGAGCGGCGATGGTCCTGCGGTGGCCTTGAGGATGGGTGGTGGCCCTGGGCAGACACCACTAGCAAGCACCTCAGGCCATAAGCACCCCAAATCCCTGCCGGTTTCCTGTGTCTGGTGGTGCCACGGGGAGGAGAGAGAGCATCCCCTGCCCCAGCAAGGTTTAAGAGTACTGCCAGCTTCCTGACCACCCCCCGGTTATGCCTCCATCCCACCAGATCCATGAGTGCTCACCATGCCCTCTGCAAGGCTGCTGGGTGCTGGACACCCCAGGGTGCCCGCTCCGGCCCCGGTGGTGGCTGCCTCACCCTCCAGCAGCGCGCAACACGGCTGACCAAGCGCAGCATTTTCACCCTGGCCGCTATGCAAACAGAGGGATGGGTGGCGGGACAAGACTTGTGTGGTGCTTTTATAAACTCTGCAGGCGGCACAGCACAGCCCTCCTGGCCCTTATCAGCACGCTGGATCCCAGCGCTCAAAGGTCACCGAGCAACAGCCAACACGACAGGGACACTGGAGGGACGCTGGCTTTGGAGGGGGGCACTTGCAAGATGTCTCTGTCTTGTGGCCCAGAGCCTGGGGATGCTCAAGGCTGGAGCTGAGGCCAAGCAGCAGGACGGGGTGTCCCACAGCTCCAGTTCCCTGTGCCGTGGGTGGTGACAGCTCTGGTGTCTCCCATTTGCTGCTCCGGCTGCGGTCACTGCTTAGTGTGTGAGCTCCTGTGCGGCCTCCCTGATTGCCCCTGCCGTCCTGGGGTGGGAGCAGAGGGCAGCCGGGGGTTTGGTGCCGGCACCACTCGTGCCGCCCAGGACGGGGTCCACCTCTGTCACATGTCTGTGGCTCCCGGGGGGGAAAACCCATGAGGTGGGTGGAGGCAGAGCCACCTTCAAAACAGCAGAGCAAACAGCCATGTGATGCCTGTGGCAACACCGCAGTGACACTAGAAGGGACCTTTGGTCCCTGTGCTGCTGTCACCATGGCCATGAGGCAAGCATTGCAGCCCCCGGACCTCTGTGGAGCCATCTGCACATGGGGGGACACCCATCCCCAAGCCTGCACACCCACGACATCTCCCATGACCACCTAAACCGGTGCCCCAGGTCTCCTCCATGTACGGACATCCCGTACCCCTACCTCTTCCCATCTAGCACCAGAGGGCTGGGGATGAGCAAACATGAGTCCACAGCTGGGAGAGCTGCTGACTCTGTGGCTGCCAGGGACTCACTCCCAAACGGCTCTGCCAGCATGCAAGCCCCCAGCATCCAGGGGAGCTGTGGCAGTGACTCCTGATCCCTTGCCCAGCCGCCCACGGTTGGACCCTACCAGAGCTTTGCACCAGCACCAAACTCAGGCAGCACTTGCATGCTTGTTTTTTATAGGTGTATTTTTAGGAGTTGGGGAGAGAGGAACAGAGGTGGCAAGGAAGGAGCATCGCCAGTGTAGGGTCCTCCCTGTGGCCCCTGTGGGCCATGCTCAGAGCGAGGGGATGAATTTGCAGATGTAGTGATGCCGCTGGGCACAGTCGGTGCTGGACCACAGAGCGAAGTCTGCCGGAGAGACGGGCCAAGAGTAAGTGGGGGCCACAGCGAGGACAGAGGCATCAGCTCTGCCTCCCACAGCCCCTCCAGGGGGACTGGCCTCAGAGGAGGAGGGGGGGATGCTAGCTGAGAGCGAGTGCTGGAGGTGGATGTGGTGAGTGGGCACTCACTGCTGTGGTGGGTCAGCATGCCACAGGTCCCCCGCTGGGCACCATTCCTCACCAGCCCACTGGTGGTGCTGTACTCGTCCCCACTTGACCACTGCCAGGCCCGGTTCTGTGCAGGGAGAAGGGATCAGAGGCAAGGCTCTGCTGCCTCCCAGCCCCTCACCACCTCCCATAGCCCTCCACCTCACCTCGTGTCCATAGCGGAGGCCGAGCCAGACAGGCTGCACACGCTGGTAGTAGGAGACCACCCTTTGCAGGGTGGCCGCTTCCTTGGGCTCCTCCACCCAGGCCAGATGGGCGCTGGCGTGGTTGGCCTGGCACTGCCTCTGTGGGGACAGCCATCAGTGCCAGGGCACCCTCAGGAAACGGAGGGTCCCTGACCATGTGCATACCGTGGTGGGCTTACCTCAGCCTCGTCCCAAGTTCGGAGCTCACGGAAGTACCTGAAGCAGCTGAGCTTGTAATAGTTCCAGCCCTCGGGGCAGTAGTTTATGTACCGGGCGCCTGTGGAGGGAGAGCGGTGGGGACGGATGGGGGACAGTTGGTGTCACCAGCTGGAGAGGAGCCTGGCTCCCTCCTGGCCCCGCTGCGAAAGTGGCTGCACCGCAAGGTGTGGGACTCACCGACTGGCTGCAGGAGTCCCATGCAGCCCAGCAGCAGAAGGGCGAGTCTGGTCGCTGCTGCCATCCTCCTCATTCCTGGACGTGTCTCCTGCAAGAGCTTGGGGGTCACATCAGGTTCCTCGGGGACAGGGGATGCCACCTGCACCTGCTATGGACCAAATCTGGCCCGTTTCCCCCAGCTGGAGGAGATGGCAGCCACGGGTCTGTGCCTCCCTCTTCCCTCCATGGCACAGGTCACTGTCCTGTGCCCGCACCCTGTCTCCCAGGCATGGCTTAGGGTACCCAGTGCACACTGGAAGTGGGGTGTCCCAGCCCCACCAGTCCTAGCCTCAGTGGGAGGCATCTTGGGGAACCAAGCTGCTCTGTGGGCACATGTGGAGAGCGCTGGCATAGACACGGGTGGGGGGACCCCAGCCCTGCCCTGGCATCCGCAGCAGCAGCAATGGCACAGGCAGATGGGGCCATAGGGCTGCAGGGGCTACATGCATGGCATAATTTTCATTCCCCAGAACCTTGTAGTGCTGCCAGAGCCAGACTGGGGAGGCAAATCGGCCACATCAGCGCAGTTCCCCTTTATCTGGGCTAATCCCTGGCCACGAGGGCTGATTTGCAGACTCAGCTCCTCTTCCCCTCAAAGAAGCAGCGACAAAAGTCAACGTGGGGCTGAAAATTACATCATTGCAGCCTGCCTCATCCAGCAAGGGCAGCGTTCAGAACCCCCAGGACCTGCCAGTGCTGGGACCATCTTGCCCACAAGCCACCTTAGAGCACCCCAAGGCCCCAGCTGCCCCACAAGGGTCCCCTTCCTCACCTGGTGTCCACAGAGCCAGAGGAATAACGGCTTCTTGCGGGCCACCGGGAGAGGAGCAGAGCGGAGCTCCCTTTATAGCCTGGTGCTCACCAGCATCAGTGTTTACCCCGCTCAGGTGATTCCCACCATAAAAATCTTACTACTGACTCCCCTCCATCCCCCTGACTTTGCTGGAAGGCTGCCCAGATCTCTGTTCTGTTTGCATTCAATGTTTTTCCAGAAAAGACAGGAAGAACCTCTCCTAGTTAGTCAATAAACTCCCTGCAATTAGTATTAATAATTTAACGCAAACACAGAGGTAACCTCATGGCAGAGAGCAGCCTGGCATCAGGCAGGGATGCCCACTGGCCCGGCCCTGCCTGAACTGGGAGCCGACAGGGATGAGCCCCGGGGAGGCTGCCCTGGTCCTGGCCGGAGCATCCCTGTGGTGACCAGCCGGGCTGTGGTACCACCTGCCGGCTGAGGGATGGCACCCGGCCGGGTCCCACACCCTGCCCGGCTCTGTCATGCGTCACCCACACACCGCCCTTGTTTGAACTGCCTGGGGATGTTTGCCAGCAGGATGCGGGGATGTGGGAACAGCCTGCAGCCAGGGGTAGCGGGCGCCATCAGATAACGGCAGAGGTGCCCGGTGGTGACGCACGGCTTCGTCAGTTCATGTCCCTCCAGGAGGAAGGGACAGGTCCTGCAGCAGCCGCCCCGCACGGGGAACCCACAGCCCTGGCCATGGCCAGGCTGCTGCTGGCGCTTGCACAGAGCCAACAGAGGGGGGCTGCCCTGGCCCCAGCAGTCAGGGCCCTCTGGCATGGTCAGGCACAGCCTTCTCCATCATGGTCCCCACTCCTCACCCAGGTGTCCTCTTGCATCAGTGGGAGGCAGCTGAAGCTCATCTGGTCTACTGCTTCCACCACGCTGCCCTGGAGCATTGCTTTGCTGGCTCCTAACATACCAAAGCAGCTTTGAAAGCTCTTCCCACTGCCTGTCCCATGGCCTCCTGCAAAGCTGCCAGCTCCTGCCCAGTGCCGTGCTGCAGTCAGCTACAGCCAGTGCCTGACTCTTCTTCCCCCAGTCCCCTTGAAGACCCTCGGACGAGGCCACTGGGAGCTACTCGGGAGGCAGCTACCCACAGAGGATCCAGCCCCATCCCTGAGTCCCGCTTCCCCCAGCATGGAGGGCTTGTAGCTGGCTGAAGCTGTTCTGGCTGCCGAGCTCAAGCCGTGTCCCAGAGCAATCTCCCATGGCTCCTTCGTGCCAGCATTTAATGAAACACGCAGGCAGCGAGTGCTGCTACGCCCACAGGGAGCAGCTCCCCACCAGCATGCAGAGGCAGGTCTGGCTTTTGCCACAGGGAAGGAGGAGGATCAGACCAGTCTCATTCTCCTGTGCAGCCACGATACGGCTACTGCTGCACCCCAAGACCTCTCAAGGCCCAGCCAGCTTGCTAGGCACCTGTTGGGATCAGAGGGGTAAAGCCTTCTTGTGTCCAGACACAGCTGCTGCCCGCTTCCATTTCTCCTGAAACACCTTTCAGAGGAAATCAGCCCCTCCGACTAATGGGGAAACTCTTCAAACACAGCAATCCCTCCTCCTGCTTCCTCCCCAGAAGCCAGGACTCCACCCTTGTTCTATGAAAAAAACATGAAAATGTTCCCCAAAGGAGCCCGAGGCTACTCCATTACTCCTTGGTTAGTTAAGGGACACCCCAGCTCCCCGCCTGGCCGGTTCAATTAGGTTTATTTGGATGCAACACGACAAGTTTTCACAAGCCCCTTGTCATCCCAGGCAGTGAAAGAGGCATGCGCTGTGCCCAAGGAGGTGCCCTTTCAAGCCTCACCCTGAGCACTGGCAAACTCAACACAGCTGTGCCACAGACACAGCAGAGCTCACTAAACTTTGGCACAGATGTGCAACCTGTGGGAGAACATGGATGAAAGCCTCCAAGACATTTGTACTTGCCAAGCTGGCTCTACCAGAAGATAAAGGAGCTGTGCTGTTTGAATATTAAATGCTTAAAATGCTCCCAGCAGCTTCAACCCTGCGAGGAGTCGCAATTCAGCTACAGGCTCTGAGTCCACAGTGAGAGCTGGAAACCGGCCAGGTGAGCGCTGGCAGAGCCCAAGGCTTCAGCAGCACCTCCCTGCTCAAAGCACAGGCAGGCAGTCATTGTCAATTTGTTCTCAAATTGTTCAAGTCAAACTTTTCAAGTCTGAAAATGGCACGGAGGAGCCATAATTCCCTGTTTCAGAGGCTGGAGAACTGTGTCTCTTCGTGGATCAGCTGCCAAGCCAAAACCAGGGAGGCAGCCTCAGCTCTAGGTACGAGGGTCCTCCTCCTGCCTGCAGGAACAGAAATTGCCCAGAGAAAAAAGCAGGACCTGAAAGGGCGAGTGAAGCCACATCTCCACTAACCACTGCCTGACCCATGCTTGCCCATGATCTTTCTAAAACCCACACAAAATCTCCAGGCCATCTCCAGCTCCCAGGCAAGTGAGAGCTCATATTCAAAGCATCTCAAAAAGACCCAATCCCAGTCCTTCCCAGTATGCCCAGCTGCTTGGCTGCTGGTTACTGCCCCGTTATCAGCTAACCAAGAGACCCAGCATCCTCCTGCTACACACCTGAGACAGGCGGCTTTCGGCTTCCAGGCACAACTCCCTTGGGTGGAGCTGAGCAATAGGGTCTGTGTGCTGCTGAGTCACAGCACAGAGCACCCTTAATCCCCACAAGCTCTCTCCTGAGGTGCAGTACAGGGGTCCTAATGAGCCCTCAGCTATCTGACACCCATGATTTGTTCATAATCCTGCCTTTACAATCCAGCGGCTGTGCTGCGATAGCTGGGAAGACGAACGAAAACAGCAGCACACAGATGCTGGGCACATACTCTTTATTCTGGGGATAAAAATTGCTTATACATTTTGCAGCAACTATTTTCATAAAAGACTTTTATAAAAAATGTAAAAATAAGCAAATATTTTCCATTATTAATATAGGAAAATGCTGCTGTGTGAATGGTTACTCTACAACTTACGAGATAAAATACCACCTTAAGGAGATATTATCTTTACAAGTAGTTAAAAAAAAAAAAAGGCAGAGGGCCATCGTATTAACACACCAGGCACGAAACTGGCTTCATTCCACAGAAAGCACTCATCATAAAAGGTAGCCACATATATAAAAAGGCACTTGGTTATTTGGGGCTAAAAAGTAAAAGCCCTTTGTTTCTTCAGCATCGATGTAGCAACACTTCATTATCTGCAGTAAAACATGTACCTGGACAGACCTCCAGGAGCTTGTGGGCTCCTGCCTGGAGATCCGAGTTGGGTGCAGCTCAGCTTCACAGGACACACTGCGGTGAGTGTGCTGGGAAACGCTGTGTGCGTTGTAAAAAGCAGTAACTTCAGAAATTAAACTTCAGCCCAAAACAATGGCCCCGCGAACCAGCTCCTTCTGAGGCCCTGCCTTCATGTACCATTGAGTCAAATCGAAAGAGAAAGCTTTTACTCTTGATTAGAATGGAAAGAAACATCAGAGAAAATACTGTACATGGTAGGATGCTGAACGGCCGCTGCTCGGAGGAGAGCGGCCTTCTCTGTCCTTTGGCGGCAGCTGACAGCCCCGATCTCTTTGGAACACGCGTCTGCAGGGATCCCCCGAAGAGGTAGGAGCAAATGATCCCTAGAAATGTTCACTTTGGCTGCTGACTGATTCAGAGCCCTTCAGGGAAGCATTACTTGTTACAAAGCAGAGAGAGCTGTTGTTTAAGGTTGGCAACAGCTGGCTTCCACAACTCCAAAAACATCGGGGGAGCTGCAGTACAAATGGCACTACTGTCCCACAGAGCACGTGGGGCACCTCAGTTGCGAAATCTCAATGCAGGCTGAAGCTGAGAGCAGAGGACAGCCCCAAACCTGTTAAACAAACTGCATTAGACAACGGTTTCTGGGCTTTTTGGTGGGCCACTTAAGCCCAGCTCCTGGCTTCAGGCAGGCACGCTGCTGCCGCTGGAAGCCTGCTCGGGAGTCAGTGCTGCAGCCTCCTTGTTGGTAGGGGAAGACAAGGCAGCCCTGCCCCAGGACTGGAGCAAAAGGGGCACTTCTCAAAGGGCTGGACACTGTTCCTGATGCAGAAGAACGCACACTGCAAACACGTAACAACGTCCTCAACACTTGTTGATAACACCATAAAGAGACAGCATATGGTATCTGGAGGACAGGACACACAGCCACCCTTGGATGGAGCATAGGGGAGTACTGTGCAAGAACG